ACCGCCCCCCTTTATTGCTATAAACTAGAGCCAAAAAAACGGATGCTTTCACAGGATAACGAATTCGAAGACATAAATTTCCACACATCGCACAAGGAGTTCGCGTCGCGTGCAATACTCACGCGAGAAACTTGAGAATGATTGTAGCTAACTGAAGTGTTAACAGTTTTGACAGCCGAATCCAGAAGTGACAAAAATGGGCGGAAGGGGGTCGTTAAAGAAATGCTAACAGGCTCTCTCTCCCATTTTTCCCGTCGCCACCGCCCCCTTTCCCGAGTCGTGCGCGTCTTATTTTCGCTTTACTCGTTTTAATACGTTCCCACTATACTATCTGAGAGCCTGGCACAGAATATATCTTACGCGACCAAAGGTTAGACTCTTTTCTATTAGAAGTACACTATTATTACAATTAATCTGTCAGCACTCTGGGTCAGCGCTAATGAACACTGAACTTTTGCGTGTCTGGCGCTCGTTGCTCGCTTAAAGAAGCGAAATAAAAAATAAATAAATAAATAAATAAATAAGTTAACATAGAAACAATAAACACTCGACACCTCGATCAAAACTCGGGCTCCCCGAGGCATAGCAATGGGAAAAGGGACACGTTTGATTTTTTGATTTGATAACATCCTGTCTTGTACTTTTGACATCTTTATACCATTTTCGCCCGCAGTTCAACTTCACTTTCTGCATGAGGGGAATATTGGGAGGAAGCAAATACCGCAATACCGTAACAAAAAATGGCAAATATAGAAATGCGGCGTCCAAAATAGACGAAACACCGATAGCGCGTCTATCCATGTCACGTGTTTGTTTGTCTCAAGCAGCTTTCTCCCAAAAATCAAGCTCAGCCATTGCAAGAAAACGTACAAGACCTCGCACTGTATCAATAGGAATATCGAAAAGTCTGGTCATTGGATGCAACGACAGTTTTATAGTAGGTTGAATATCAGAAACTGTGTAATCATTTACAAACTTTTTATTACCTTTGAAGCCTACTTGTTTTGTGCTGATTGTGCTGCATAATTGTATTGACCTGTATTACACGGGAGAGCGCAAGTGAACAGTACTGCTTTACCGACTGAGAGATATTCCTTTACTGAATACCGTTAGCCAAAGGATGAAAACCCGCATACGGCAGGGCTACTAGATGATACAGCAATATTGGACATTAAAATCGTAACTACCAAAATACCGCTTGAAAAATCCTCAATACCGGAATAATGTAAATAAAATAGAAAATAACTTATTCATTTAGTTACAATACCTTGCTACTTGGTATAATAGAGGTCTTACCTATTGCCCTTTCAGCGTACAATATTTTCGTGTGCAGTGCAAAGTGCACTAGCTCTGCATGACAGCGCCCTAAAAAGCTATCACCTAAGTTATCAGCATGCACCCGGGGGGGGTAATTAAGGAATTCCTGGGTGGGGATGTGCCGCTGGGACCCTGGGACCCTTGACCTATACCAGAGCTAGTTCAGCTGAGTTTTGCTACCCTATACTAGAGTAAACTCCCAAAATCCCCCTATCCTAGAGTAGCTGTTTCCCCTGTCTAGATAAAATCTTCAACCAACTGATCAGTTTCCTGAAAAATGATACCCTATTCTAGACCCAAACGCCTTGATTTATATACCCTATCCTAGAGTAAACTGCTTGAAAAACATACCCTTCACAGCGGCACATACCCATATAGCCCATATACGGCAGTAACCCCCACTTCGGGGGCATGCACTGACCTAATCTTATGGCATTCGAAAAATTCTAAGCATATGAACATTTCACAGACATGACACAATGGACATGCAAATCCGCCTTTTCCCCTAGGCATTTGCAGGAGGCTCCTGGCATTTGCCATTCATTTTCTTCTACCGTATAAACCGTATTCAATATTTGCACAAAGACTACCATGAGGCTTAGCCACATAAATGTAAGCAAACACCTCACCTTGATGATGACACAGCATGTATTGTTTTGTTTACCTTGTTTTGAAATCACTCTAGCCTAGTCACATTTCCTTTCGAGTGTGGGTCTCGCGTGACTTTTCGACACCCGCCCCGAAAAGGAGATCTTGCCCGCAGGTTATTCATCTAGCTATACATGGCGGACAGAGTTATCAAACGCACTACAGGAACTTGCTTTCCACATCTCAGCAGCTCGTGAATGAACTCGATCACTCACGCAGACATACTAATGAAAACTTTTTCAGTGTGCGTCTCTAAAGTGTTAAACTACCTATACCGTCAGTCGTTAAAGCGGGCCTAGAAAACGAATATTAATGTTTTTCCTATGTATATAAGAAAAGCATTGTATTTTGCGACGCCTTTAGCAATACGCAAGGAAAAATTACACCACTCTTTGAACATTGGTGTTTAATTTAGATGATGGCCAAAAAAAAGCTGCACAATAAAATTATAGTTTGTACCGGCCTGGAGGCAGGGAATTGGAGGTATTAAAAGGGGGGTGCGCCCCTCATCGATAACAAAAGGGTTACAATACGACTTCTGTTGTTAGTTATTTAACCAAAACCACAATTTCCCGTTTGCAGTATGAGTTTTCTATGCATTTGTGTACTCGTCTTGAATCTATCGAGTAATGCATTGCCTTGATTGGGTGATGTGACACAAAAGGGGTGAAGGGGATAGGGGTGTGCCTCCCTCATCGATGCCAGCTTTTGTTTTGTCTTTTTTTCTTCTTCTTTGGCTAAAGTGGTTGAAAATGAACTCTTGGAATCGCATGTAAGTACGAATCTTTGGCGATTAGTTGAGCAACAATAAAAGATTTTGGCCTCAGCTCACCTTTTCACAGTGTCGTTGTCAGTTGGGTACAGAGCGGTGTTTTCCCCTCACATTGTCTTCCCAGTCTCCAGGAAGGGAACCTAAGCGTTAGCCTGTGGTGTCTGAAACTGTTGCGCTCAGCATGAGAAAGCTAGAGCAGGAGTTGTACGGTAATTCGTGATCAAGATGATATTGGTCCTTAATTGTGGCGATCATTATTTGTAGATTATGATGGGAAAAAGCCTTCATATTTAAATATCGAATGTATACCGCACATCTTGAAATGTTCTAGTTGGTATTCTCACGGACGACGCTTCCTTCAGCTCCTTCGAATCCTTTGTTACCGGCAATGATTGTGTTTGATTCGGCAGAAATTCTCAATTTCTCCCCATAAATAGCAACACAGCTCGGTTCGTATGACTTACTATTTGATATGGGGTTACAATACAACTAGTAGCCTGCGTCGCAGACATAATCTGGCCGAGTGAAGGGGGGGGGAGATATTCCCCTACAAGAGGCTAATAGAGTTGTGCCGCGGGATGGGGTCGAATTTTCACAACTGGAGTGACTAATAATATAATAGAGTTACTAGAATGGGGTCGCAAATTTTCGGATTCTGGGGATAAGTAGGGATTCAAAATGGAAAGATACTCAGTTAAAAAAATCAGAAAGTTGTTGTTTATTAAACTTTAAAATAAGCTCGCATTGGCCGCATTACATTCCGCCGAATAAAACCACATTGACAAAATAGATGCATCAATAGAAAGTGACTAAGTTGGGATGGTGAAAATTTTATTTTCCAAAAAGTGACTAAAATGGGGTCTACAATTGGCCAAAAAATAGACTATAATGGGGTAGGGGCTTTGAGAGGCCAGCTACACATACCCAGCGAACATTAACCCAAGTACCCCGCTCCCCCTGATTGTTCATCCCTCGCGCACATTTTGAGACGAGTTTGTTTGGGTGAAAATACATGTTTTTTTAACTAATGTTTCAACAATAAAAATAAAACTTGTAGCTAAAATCATGCAAAGTGCTTATTTATGTGTTATTTTTCTCGTAAAGCAAGCATACTAGTTCTCGCGGTTTTAACCTGATGTCTAATTCTTGGTAAAATCCAAGATGGCGACCATTGTTGGTGACGTCTTAGGCCTCCAGCAGCGCCACCACCCCAAAAATATACTTCACCTTGTTAAGAAGATCAAAGGCTTTCCACTAAAGGTAAAATCGTTTCGAAATAGTGCAACATGTCAAAACTCCAGGGTGGGTTACCATCGCATGTACGTCAGAGAGTTAATTGCGATAAAGCTGTGTCTTGCGCTAAAAAAAAAAAGAAAAAAGTTCAAGGCACTAGGGCGGGGGGGGAACACCTCTTGTATCTTTCGACGCAACTCAATGATTCCTCTTTTGATTCTTGGTAAAAAGCGGACTGCATTGCTACTAATTCAGATAATGCATGTTTGCTTAGCTCTAATACTGTTTGCATCTAACTTAGAATTATTCGATCAACTTAAGCACAAGCAGGAGAGTTATAATCTGAAACATTTGTCCGCTGGTGAGACTTCGACCAGTGCCTGATGTGATACCAGTGCCTGATGGACACTTTCCTCCAAGTTTAGCGAAGATTCTGAGGGGTCCCCCAGTGCCATTGGTGATTTTCATTGGCAGAGCAAACACGGTGGCTCCTTTGGAGGGTAACTTGTCCAGATTGGCCACGTTCACATATCCAGGGATGTTTTCCTTGAATAAAGTTTTGCGAGACTGGAAATCTTTCGATTGGCCATAGTCAAGCGACGCTGTGTCCGAACCAACTGCTTTTACCTTTCGAGTCGCCATCCACTTGGCCGAGTCTGGGTGGATACCTGAAGATCAGCAAGTTTGTCAGTCAGTAGAGAGACAGCAGACACATAGTCTCTATTGCGAAAGGGTTTGCTTTTTCAACTACTCGTTTATTTAGGCTTGAATACAAAAACAACTAATTAGTAGCTGAATCATTAGTGAAGAAAAAGGGGCCGGTAGGCCACACGATTGTTACCTGAAAATACTGCTTGTCCCAATTTTTTTTTTCCTTTGGTGGGGAGATAATGTTCTAGAGGGTTCTACGTTTTGACTGAGCAAATGGTATTTTTAACGGTTGTTTTGGACTGCAGCGAGTACACACCCTGTTCTGTTTTTACCACTTTGTGATGCAAGACCATGGTTTCGGTTTTTCACGTAAACCCCATCAGTTGGATTTTTTTACTTTTAAAAGAGCAACTCTAGTTGTTCTTGTGACGTTAGGAAAATACACTTGTGTCAAGTTGAAAGGCGTCATTCCTGGCCAGCAGAAAGTCTCGTTGCTAAACGAATACGTCATATCCAGCCACGATACCTTTACGCGGAAACAAAGGATAAACTAATTATAATTTCTGTACGATAAAATTGTTGGACATAAGAAAAAGTAGAACTGGTTTGTCGCACCGTTGTGGTTATGCCTTCACAAGTGTTTCTGGTACATAATATGTACACAATATCACTGGGGCGTGCTTCATCCGAATCTTCATAAAAAGTAACGTTCGTGATCTATGCAATGTCCAGCTGATACTAAAAACTGAAAACCAGTTAGAAACTTTTAACTCACTTTAGAACTATATATATATATAGCGAGTTCATGCCCCCACAGAAACAGATATGTACTTCAGAACTCTAGAGTAACGTAACTAAGACACAATCCATCTGTTACCTAGATACTATCTCTTAACGCATCCCTATATTTACTGCCAGCTTTTAATTTAAACGGTCAATCGTTGAAGTTGCCTGATGAGTGTGGTCCTGCAATTTCGGACCATACGAAACAGCACTGTCGCAAGAAACGATCAATGATTACTCCTGAAGCCTGAACTCCTGTGATTATATATATATATATATATACTTTTTTTTTTTTTTTTTTTTTCTGAGACGACAATTCAATTATCAACATGTCACGGTGAGTTCTTGCCCTTCCCAAGCAATTACGATGGGAAAAGAGAGATGATTTTCTGGCTTGATAACATTACATGTTATCATTTTCGCACGCCGTCCTCCCCACGTTATCACCTCCATTGGTAAAAATAAAATATAGAACGACGTCTTCATTTAGTTACAAACCTTTTTAACGGCTACTTAGTTTAATAGAGGTCCTACCTTTTACTGTTTCTACGTGCAACATTTTCGCGTTGAATACAGAGTGTGCGGTGTCGAATGCCGAGCTGGCGTCAGAAACACAGAGCCTGAAAAGCCACATCAGCTGAGTTATCAGCTTTTCTCTTGAGTAATTGTTACATTACTGACCAATCAGTGCCCTCACCCTTGGCATTTGCATGTCCTTGCCCCTATCAGTTTCGTTCGACACAAGATAAAAATACTTATTACGTTTCAAGATTTTAATCAATCAGTCTTTCATTCGTATTACGCCTATTTCATGCTACCAGCAGGAGATCTCTGCAACGTCAACTGAGCTTTTCAAAGGAGGTCCCCTTAAATTTCTAAAATGCATTACAAACATTCGTATCGAATATATTTGGCCCTTGAACATATTGTTAAGCAGCAAGAGTATCGTACAGTAGAACCTCAGATAACTCGAATTCCCCGCTAACTCGAACTAAATTTCGTCTCCCTTGATCAAAATCACTTCACTGAAAGTTACCCGGCGGGTTAACTCTAATTCCTCGCAACTCGAACTGTTTTTCGCTTCCCTTCAGCTAGAGTTCGAGTTACCGGGGTTCTACTGTACATATTATGTTCCATTATGTTATTAAGATTCACTACCAATATATATATATTCATTTTGTTGAACAAAACATTCCACTTTACTTTTAATTAATGCAACCTAGGGACGGACCATTAGAAAAGTTATTAGGGGGGGGGTTTTCGAGCCGCAGGAATTTTTTTTCGTTATCAAATTCCTTGTATGATTTTTTTTAGGTCATAGCATGAAATTTTCTTTAGGATTAATTGGCGTGCATAAATTTTTTTCATTTAATTTTCCCTTGTGCGAATATTTTTTTTGGTACTTCGCCCGTCCCCCAGCCCCCATAAGTTTTGTAATGGTCCGTCCCTTAAATGAATTAATTTCCTTTCAGTTGTGTGGTAAACTGATCCATATCATAACATCGCCATATCTAACTGACAAAGGTCTGTAATTATAATAATTCGTAAGTTCTATTCATACGGATGGATAGTATGATTCCTCGAAAAGTAATCTGGAAAAGAAGGCGGCAATTGTCCTTTAAACATAGTTAGCCCTTGATTGCCTGCAATGAATCTTGGCGAAAAAGGACTGCATTGCGGTGAAATTCAGATCATGTTCTTTCAATTATCTCTAATGCTGTTTGCATGTAACTTGCAATTACATAAGGAACTTGAGCACGAGCAGGAGAGTTATAATCTGAAACAATTGTCCACTGGCGAGACTCCGGCCGCCGCCTGATGTGGGACACTCCCCTCCAAGTTTGGCGAAGATTCTGAGCGGTCCGCCAGCGCCATGGGTGATTTTCATTGGCAGAGCAAACACTGTGGCTCCTTTGGAGGGTAACTTGTCAAGGTTAGCAACGTTCAGATATCCAGGGATGTTTTCCTTGAATAAGGTTTTGCGAGACTGGAAATCTTTTGACTGGCCATAGTCAAGGGACGCCGTGTCCAAACCAACTGCTTTTATCTTTCGACTCACCATCCACTTGGCTGAGTCTGGGTGGATACCTAAAGATCAACAAACTTGTCATTCAGCAGAAAGACTGCAGACACATATATCTATAATACCAGAAGCATATAACCCCGAAGCGTCTAACTTCCCCTTCTGTGTGAAGAACCATGCTCGGGTTTTTTAGCTGGCGCAGCCGTCCAATCAGAAGCACGGAAAATTATTTTGCCCAAATATGGAATCAGAGATTCAAGGTTAAAAACTTTGAGCCTGCAGCGCTTATACATGTAATTTCTACGACCGAAAGAAACCGTTTCGTGGCGTAAAAGATGAAGTAATTATGCTGCTATAAAATGCATCCCCGGCAAAACATAAAGAGCCACAAAGTTATAAGCGTTATGGCTTGAAAACATCGACCAGCGACGAAGTAAGACTAGGATGTTTACGTTTCTTCACGACATCGCAAAGCCTCTCGCCGAAAATAGCAAAATGCATCAGCAGCCTGCAGCTGTTTGACGGGCAAAGATCATCCTGAGGCTACTAGCTGCAAATCTTTAATCTACCACGGCAAACCAGTTATCTGCAACTTCTGTTCTCATTCAGCAAAACCAGCATGGCGACTGCAAAAAAATGATATGGCAAGCTTTGCAGAAGCGTTGTTCAAAGCGCCGACGAGGTCGGAACAGAATCTTTTGTGAGTGACATTTTTTAATTCACCCAGAACAGTACGCGAACATATGTATGGCAGTTTTGATGTGACGTGTGAGATGTTAAGGTTTGTTTTCTTTTTGAGGAAAGGAAAAGTTTTAAGCTGCAAAATTTACCTTCGAGGACTTCGACCTTGTTTCTTTCACGGCGGATCGGAGCGCTTGTCCTTTTTTGGACTGCGACCAAGTCAGCAACCTTTTTAAAGAATTTTCAGGTAACTTACATTTTACACATCACACTCAAGGAAAGTACGTTATTTAGAGGAAATTTATGTATTTATAAATGTTTCATAGACGTTTTATAGATTTTTGATAGAGTTTTCAAGATAAATTGGGAAATGCGCCTGATCTGAGACAGATATTAAATTTAATTTTGCCATTTGCTCAGCCGATTTTACTGTGGGAACAGATCCACGATCCAGTCAGTGTTACGTGAATTGCTTTTAATGGTAAACTAAAGGGTTTTCGAATAAAAATCTTCAAGAAACAATTTGTCTGTTTATTGTTTTCTGTTTGTTCATCCATATAACATTAGTTGAAAACATGATCGCCAGCATCTAAGTCTTATTACAAGCACCACTTTTGAGAAGATATGCAATTTTTACTTTCGAGTTCAGCAACTACTGAATTTTGTTACTCGTTATTCTAGATAGATAGTAAGTGATTTTTTAAAGGTTGTTTGCGCTGATGGTCAGGCAAAAACCGTTTTTGAAGTAACAACTTTAAGAAACCGCTTCTCTTGCGGTGCATGTCATTTGTAGTCGACTTTGTCTTGTTAGGAGGAACTAACTCAGTCCTGGTCATTTGAGGTCATTTGGGGATTAATGCTGTATTCCTTTTTTGGTGAAATAATACCTCGTATTAAAACAGTAAATGCTTTTATAGTTTGCACCGCATCATTTACATCGCGATACAAGTTCGCGCGACAATCTCGCTTATCAGTAATTCCATATTGGGAAGTAAATTTTGATTGGTTCTCTAAAAAACCCGAGCTCTGCGACAGAGTTATACGCTTCGGGGTTATATGCTTCTGATGATACCTATTGCAAAAGGGTTTGCATTTTAAACTTCTTTAGTAGCTGAATTAGTAGTGTAGAAAGGGGTCGGTAGGCCACACGACTTTTACCTCCAGATGCTGTTCCAATAAGTTTTTGCTGTTCCAATAAGTTTTTGGTGGGTAGATTATGTTCTGGAGAGTTCTACGTTTATCTGAGCAAATGTGATTTTTGCCGGTTGTTTTGAACTGGAGCGCGTAGTTCCTCCGTTGGTAATAATTTTGGTTTTCCACGCGAACCTCATCGGTTGCATTCATGCTTAGTTACTTTTACAAAGAACAGCTCTAGTTGTTCTGTGTCGTGGAGAGAATGGTACAAGAGCTTTGACCCCCTATATTGATACCAGCGTCGAGGGTCGAAAAATGTTGTTTACCTATTGGCTACTGAACACAACCAATAATTACGGAGTGTGCATTTCGATATTCTTCCCCTTTAAGCTTAAAATGTGTTTTTTTAGGTAAGCATTTGTGACAATTTTAGCACTTTCTTCTCTAAAACAGTTCGAAGACTCATGTAAATAAGTGTGCACAACGTTTCCTTACACTTCCTCTAAAAACTGGAGTGGGTAAGTTCTTAGTTAGGTGCACAATTAATGTTGAACTTTCTCCTTTGCGCTTGGTTCTTATTAGTCCTGGTGTTGATCCCTAACAGCCAAAACGGAACCTACATGTAAAAATATCCATAGTGTAAAATAAGTGACTAGGCCACACAACGTTTACCTCATGTCAAAATACTGCTTGTTCTAATGAAGTTTTTTCTTTGGCAAGTTTATTATGTTCTGGAAGGCTCTATACGTTTTAACTGTTTTGTATGCAAGACAGACGAAGTAATAAGAACTTCAGAAATCATGTAAAATGGCGAAAACGCAGCTACTTAGGAAACTGTTGTCACTCCCTTTGGGATTAGCGCTTCGCAAAATAGGAGAGCGCGCTTTGTCGAAGCGTGTAAATTGAATTTCCCTAGTTATAACAATTACGTCTGCAGTTCAAAGAGAACTAATTAAAAAAAAAAACCGTGGGTCGATATGTTATTAGATGATCAACAACCTATCTCTCTAGCATCGTTAAATATCATAGGACTCAAAAAGCTTTAGCACTTACCTGGAAAGCGCATATTCGATAAGTTTCCAGTGGGTTGCATTCCTAGATATTTGTTATTGTCGGAGAAGAATTTTCCCCACCCCGTGTACACCAACAGAATCACGCCCTCCGGGATCTTGCCATGTTTTTCTTCCCAGTCCTCGATGTCACTCGGCATCAGCTGATAGTCCGCGTTTGAGAAAGCCTTCTGACGAATATCTATTACAACAGCTGGTCCAATGAGGTCATCCAAGGGAATTTCTCCTGTGCTTCTTTTCTCCTTGTACAAGCTTCTTGGTGCCTCGATGTGTGTCCCACAGTTTTCAGAGGTGTGGAAGTCATACATGATAAGGTAAAACCCGTCTCTTGTCATGTTAGGCCAATACACTTGTGTCATGTTGAAAGGCGTCAACCCTGGCCAGCAGAAAGTCTCGTTGCTAAACGAATACGTCATGTCCAGCCACTTAACCTTCACGCAAGAACAAGGAAGAAAAAATTACCTTACCTTAGTACCTTATTACCTTATTTGTTAAACATAGGAAAGCTGTGGAGAAAGAATATTCGCACAACGCTTCAGTTGACGTAGAAGAGATAACATAATGCATCAGGCAAATCTGCGCTCACCCCCCCCCCCCCCGCCTCCACCCCTCCCCTCCCGGCATTAACATTTTTTTGGCCGACTTTTGGCCTTGGATGGTAAATTCTTTCTGTAGGGTGGGACACTTGAGCTGCAAATCCTCGTTCTCATTCCACACTGTAGCAGTTTTCATTGATCGTATAGTCGAATAGTTAACAATTAATGAATGAGGCTGAGTATCTTATGAAGAATTATGGAGATCAAGGAGGGTGTTATCGTCGAGGCTGTAGGCCGAGGCGGATAACATCCTCCGAGATCTCCATAATTCTTCATATGATACGAAAGCCGAATTCAATAATTGTTTTATTATTCAGTAAAAATAATTCCCAGTTTAAAAACGTGGCTAAAACATGCTTACCTCCATCGATCCATCGATGTTAAGTTCATCTTCGATAGTGCACGTTTAGGTTTGTCCAGCTCCGCAAATATTATCCAAATAGCAGATGTCACACTTCGAGTTGTCTTCTTGCTGTTCTTGCCATGTTGTTACCTATTTTTTCGTCTACTTCTTACTCTTGAAACGAGTGAAATGTCCGCCATTTTTCAAGTTTACAACCAAAATAACTCAACCTCGTCCCCAGGTCTTCTCGATTAACGGTGCCTTAACCTGCGAAAACGCTGCATTTTTGACGTCATTTCCTCGTTAAACACAGAATTCTTCCAAATTTGGTCATCAGTAACTGGTTATGGTGAATTAAATGTATCCTTTTAGCCAATCAGAATCGGGAAAAAATTTGGAATGAATAATAATGCCACTTTACACATTTTTAATGTGAAATTTTTCGTTTCAGTTTACGTCTGCCTTTGTAATAGCGCTATTCTTATTAAGCCGCGACAAAACCATTCATGATTCGTATTTTATCATTGTTATTTTTATCTTGGGATAAATAGTTCGTAGGCAAAAAAATAGGTCCGCTTTGCGTAATTGTGCCTAGTGCGAATTTATATCATTGAAACGTGGGGTCATAATTTCAAAACGATTACAAAGAGAGTTGATTGAGCCTATCTGTTTCTGTAACTAGCCTCTCTATCTACGGTGTCATTTTGAAAATTTTCTCTGAGAGGCCGGAGCTTTGCCTTTGCCTTTGATGATGCCATTCTTAGTACCCATAACTGTTAGGTGGTAACATGAGAAATGTGTACATGTATTCTGAAATAATCCAGCTAGATCCGAGAATTAACGTGGAATTGTTTTAACACTTTTCCCCTGTCAACTCAATTACATCTTGAAGTAGACAAGGCTGTGCTCTAAGAAGAATTGAAGGGAGACCAGTGTCTTGAAACTGTAAAATCCAGGGTGCCTTGCATAGTATGATTTGTATGAAAAATCTGAGATGTTCTTGTTCCCTGAGGGCAAAAGTTAGGCGCCAGGGGCCACCGGGCTCTGCTAGAGCACAGCCCTGATAGAAATAAAATATTGTTCTCAGAGATTTGCTCTGTAAATTAAACATTATTAGCGTGAGGATTATTTGCTTGTTGAATAACGTGCGATATTTGTTCTCTTCCGGTATTCCAGAAAGTCGTTTGTACCGAGGAGCGTGTAATTGGTTCCTGTTTGTAAACCTTTTTCAACAGACTGACTTTATAGCTAAAAGCGCTTAGTGCTCTGAGTGCCTTATCAAGTGACTTTTTCCAGTGAGAATTCAGTTATGTTTTGCATCTATATATAAAAGAAAAAAGATGAAACAAGGTAGCCATCAAATCCAAAAGGGTTCCGCAAAGGCAATCATCTGTTTGCTCTTGATAATCATATCTTACAAATTGCTCTTGAGAATTATCTCTAGATAGGTTAAATTACAACTCACAGAAATTCTGTTCATCCTGATCTTCTACTTTATGTTGGTTCCGATTATTTCTTTCTTTGATCGAATATCTTAAAACTGCTCAAGATTAGCCGAAAAGTCTTTATAATGGCTTGATGTACACTCCAAGCATGCCTAAATGGTGACACATTCCAAACATGTTTGTGCGAACAATTTGGTCCCCCTTCATGCAAGTAGTAAAATAATTTATAGCTTATAGGATTGAAATGGTTGTTACGTCATAAGATCAGATCATATGAAGTTCTTAAACCAATTTTCTACACTCTCACCCTTGTCTAGGTGCTTCGCAGTTGACACAAAAAAGTGTCATTATGATAGCATTAAAATAAATAATTGTGTATAAGTGAACCTATCTGTTCTGAATAGTTTAATAATATGAGAGGAAGTTCTTCAAATAATAGATTGATCATACATGATCATAGAAGTATTAAAATCATTACACTTATGAAGGCAAAACCGCAACGACAAACCAGAGAGGGTCCGCCGAATCTTTAGTAGACCTGGATCGGTAAAAAATATTGTGAAAACAATAAACTGATCCTTGCTGCACGAAGGGTGATAGAAAAAATGATTAAAGAAAAAAAAAATAAAATAAGGGGTTAATTACATTTGCCCGATATTTCGATCTACAACACCAACCCCCGTGGGTGGAGGTACTTCAGGAATTTCTGGGTGGGTAAACTCTCCAAATCCTCCCTATCCTATAGTAGCTGTTTCCCTAGTCTATATAAAATCTTCAACCAACTGATCAGTTTCCTGAAAAATGATACCCTATTCTAGACCCAAATGCTCTGATTTATATACCCTATCCTAGAGTAAACTGCTTGAAAACCATACCCTTCACAGTACCCTCCCCCCCCCCCCGGGCACAAACCCTCAACACGTGGGCTATAAAAGAAAAATGAATATAAAAGATCAACGTTACATATGCGAGATTTGAATACATGGCAAACAGAAACTGATAGGCTACTAAAAAGATAAATGTCACTTGATTGAGTTCATCACGTCTGTTTATACTATGAGGTTCTAAAATTTGCAAATGCCCGGTCCCACTCCCGGGCTGCCGGGAGTGACAAGGTAGGCAAATGTCCCGCAGTGCCCGGGGGTGAGGGTGCAGTTGGATTTGACTGATGTTTTAATGTTTAAATACAAATGAACAAATAGCCCAACAACGTACTTCCTACTTTATCGGTGTCAAGTATTTCTCAGGATATTTACCTTTTATTTGTTTCTGAATTGATTTAATACGCATGATAGCGACGATCGGAAATACGTCTGCGGTCGCAGGCTGTAAGCGTTTAGTAAAATCCAACTAGTGGTCTATTCTCAATGCGGCGTTCTGATTGGTTGAGTTAATACTAGGCTATACGTTATAGCCCACCAGTAGCAAAAAGCGCCGGCTTTGAAAACCAAAACAATGGGGGCTGAATCAAATTAGTCGGTTCCACGTCGTAGTCGTGCAGTGGACATCAAAGAAATGACTAAAAAGCGTGATGCACGTGCAGAGCTGTTGTTTCGACGAATAAGTAAATTTACTGTCAACCAAGCAAACGCGATAATAGAGCTACCATATTCATTTGTTTTCTTTTATCGCTACAAAAATTATGTTGGAATATACCAAAAACGTAGTGCATTCGCTATTGGCATAGAAAACTTGCTTACGCTGAGTAACTAATAACTATATTTTAAAATTGTAGTTCATATTAAGCATGATACCTTCGTCCTCTGTTTATCGCACTTTTTCTGTTTCCCAGTATCAGCAAAGACTCTAGTAGCGCCTCCTGATCCGTTCTTGATCTTAATTGGCGCACCATACACCATAGCTCCCGCTGGGGGTAACTTATCCAAATTGGCAACCATTTCATATCCGGGTATGTTAGCACTTGTTAGGATTGTGTTTGCCTTGAAGATTTTCGACGGTCCATTGTCCCACGATACCACGTCCACACCCACTGCGGTAACTTTTCCACTCTTCACAATCCATTCAGCTGCCTCAGCACTGAAACCTAGGATAAGAATGGAAATAAATTTTCGTATGTTTTAATGTAGAAACGAAACTTGTGTTTTTGTTTCTACAGTATGATTGCTCTAAAATATTGGCTAAGAATTACCGTAAGAGGCCAAGTGGAACCTGTTAGAGTTTATCGCCACAATATACTTTGAAAAAAGTTCAAGAATTGATTGATTCCAAATTGACGATGTATACAGTTTCTGCTCTCTCGACTTAGCTTCCCGTTCCCCTTCTCCAACGCCCCTCCCCCCTTACCCCTTCCTATTATACGTTTTAGCTTCCTCAATCTTCTCCCTCATCTCCATCTTCGGAGTCATTTTATCTTCCTCGGCTGATCCCTCCCCGACTCCTTTTCACTTCCCTCTTCCTTTTATACTACATGGGAACTCTTTGAGAGCCTTGTGAACCCCTTGTGATCCCAATGTAACATGAAAATAAGGAATAGTACAAACGTTAGATGCTTTTCTATTTTAGCTTTACCTGGGTTATGTAGATAACCGTAACCAGTCTTGTTTGATTTGGGATCAAAGCCCAAAAACTTCTCTGGATTTGCCCAGTCCTTTCCCCGGCCTGAGTAAAGGAAGAGGATTGCACCATCCGGGATCTTGCCATGTTTTTCTTCCCAGGCTTCCAGGTCACCTACACTCAACTGATAGTCTTGGTCCTTGGCAGTCTGCGCAGAGATGTCCACAACAACTGCTGGCCCTATGAGTTCATCTAACAGAACTTCGTTCAAATGTTTCCCTTTTTGGTAGAAATGTTTAGGGGCATCTATATGAGTTCCGCCGTGCTCTGACATCAGAATGTCGTAGGAGGAAAACCTAGCTGGCGCCAGTTTGTTCTGAACGGGAATTTGTTTAAGTCTGGTGTGCCCAGGAAAGTAGTTGGTCTTGCTGTCGTAACTGTACGACATGTCTAGCCACTCAGTGGCACAGTAGCTGAACAGCGTCAGACCGATTAGAATCGCTAAGGAATTCATACCTGGAGATTATTAAGCGGAGAATATGTAAACACCGATGAAATAAAGTACCGCAACATAGTGTAAAGGACAGAGAGAAAAACTCCTTTATGTGTTTGTGTTCCAAAAGGTTATTTCCGACATTCCCCGGGCCTCTGTTTCAAGAGTGCTCAGCCTTTGATATGGAAATCATTTTTCATTCTCATGCAAATAACACTCATTTTCACAAGAAAGGTTGTGCTCCTAGCCTCATTTTGAAAGTGAAGGCCTATTGGAGCCCAATTTCGCTTTTTATACAATGAGTACAAATTCAGAAAAGCACAATTGGAATTTAGAGCTTCAGAATAAGTTATTTTATTCTAAAGCGAAAAACTCCCAAGGCGCCTTTCTAAGTATCTATTTGTTCTATAAATAGCGCAAGTGAACTTCACATGGAACAAAAGCATATAAAGGAGTTTCCCTTCCTGTTATTTATACTGACATATTATGCCACAAATTATTCTTCTTACAGTGGCTGATACCTCCCCTGTTTTTACATGCATGATATAAAATGTCAAGCAAAAGGTTAAAAGATGTAGCTTTTTATGTCCACGGCAACTGCAGAAAATAAACTTCACTTGATCTTGACACTTTCCTTAAACTTTTTTTCATTGAGAAAATATCTTTCACAAGAACCATTTTATCTAAACACAAATATTGTTTGATTTTACGGAGGTAAAAAGGGCATGGGCAACATGTGTGGGAATTCTTGTCTTCATCGACTTTGTAAAGGTCTGATGTATAAAAATGGACAGGTATTCATCTAGCCACCTGTATCACATGATGTGAACAAATTTAGTTTCAAAAAATTGAGAACATTCTATTCTACGATACTTATGTAAATGGTACTTTATTGATTGTTATTGTCTCATACTTGGTAGAATAATATTTTCTTAAATAAGCACAAAACGCAATTGCATAATATTGATCATTCTTGTAGGTAAGAGTGGCTAGATGGTTTTCTATACAATACTTGTAAACATACGAGTTGGCATAGAGAGCGTTAACCTAATGCGTTCATACGTAATATTATTTTACCGAAAAAAGTTTATAATATAAGCAATCTTTCATATGCAGGCACGTGTTCATCCATTGAACGTAGATTTGTGGAATTAGACGGGTGGTATGTAGCCTGATCTTCCTTCCCTGACCGCTCTCCTAACAGGAAAAGGGTGCAAATTTACCCCTTCAATGTATGGTGCTTGCACCTGGTTCGTTTTTTACCATAGCTACAATCTCAGACAAAATAATTATTTTGCCGTTCACGTGGCGTCGTTCTTGATTTGGGAAGGGGGGGATTGTATCTTACACTTCTCGTGGGCAACTCAAGGAATGTAAAATTATGTTGAGAGCTGATTTCCAAATTATTATTGCTCTACTACCTCGAAAAAAGAATATGCACAAAACAAACTTTATAAGGGATGAACACCGAACGTTGGTTTCACCGACCGGCGTTGATAATGTGTTGCCAAAATGTGTTCTAGACAAAAGCACTGCCTTTGGGCTGCAATTATTGTATGGTTAATCTGAATGTTTTGCCAGCTCTCAAACCATTTTTCCGTTGAGGTAGCCGTATTTGCTCTAATTCATGGAAACACAACTTAAAACAATAATAATGATAATGATATATAAAGCAATTCTGTGAAACTAAAAATGTATGTTCTTATGTTGCTGGCTGTTCTTGTTTTCCAACAGAATCTTGAATGAGTGGAGTAAGTTTATTGATGCCGTAATTCACAGCTTTCTTTCGTAAGTTTTTATTTCTCATTAATTCACTTGCTCCATATCGCCCTATCTCAACAGACTTTTTTGCCATCCAAGGGATACCATGATGAACAAAAGCATCTGCCGTTGTACCAACAACAGTGTCTAAAACGCCCGCCCCGTGAGACTGGCTAATTAGTTTTTTGACTTTCTTCCTGTTCCAATTTGTCCCTTTTCTTGTACATATCTAACATTTTTTGTTGCACGGATTGCACAAGTACAATAAAATTGAAATCTGTTTCTTTTATCGGCTTTGATAACCACTTAGTACAACACAAAGAGTTTTTCTTTTATCTACAATGCAATAAGTTTCTTCCATTTTATATTTAAGATTATATAATTTATTTATTCGATGAGTTTAAGAGAAATCTTTGTAAAAGGAGTGTTAGATAATTTTTACGAAGAATTTAGAAGCATTTATAATTCAGTATCGCCCTTGTTCGCAATTAGATAATGATAAAATATTTGTTGAAATAATCAAAGTTATTTTTGAGATAAGTGAAAAGCTTAATTTACTGAGAGGATTGGTAAAAGGAAGTTATCTTGTTTGAATTAAATTTCATAACAGACATTGTTATAAAATATCTCAATTATTTATAAATCCTTGAAATAATTGATTATAAAATCTCTATAATCTTAGTCAAAATCTTGATCATGAATAACATCCATATACTTTTTCCTTTATTTCTTTCATTCAGGAAGTACAAACACCAATAACCACACAGAACAGAGTCTCTGTTTTGTACTTCATCCTGAGAGTAAATTATCTTTTCTTCCAGGTGAAATTAAATAGTGATAAATGTCAAGTGGCATAATCAAACCAAATGGGTCAAAGTATTCAACTAAATCATTTTCCAGTGTGTGTTCCAGAACCTTGAATATCATCAAGATTGACTATTCCACACTCTTTTCCAATCTTTTTTGGTGATGTATCTCTGCTGAAAATATCTCTGAAATATTTTATTCCAAGTTTTTTTTTTTTTTGCCCAGTCAAACAAATCAAAGTTGGATAGTGGTTGTTTACAAAATGATCCTATAATTGGAATTGAACTGAACGCGCTGTTTTTTCCTAGCAATAAACCTCTTCCCATTTTACCCCAGCTCCAATTGGATTTTCCCAACTTCCAAAAAAGAGGCTGTGATTGATAAATCGGATAGTGACCCTCACCTCTTGTTTTTACTGGAGCTTGAGGAACATAAACATTTCTTGTATTTGTTGAAGCCTGTCTATCAACTTGAAGTCCACTTCCAAATATTTTTGATACCAAACTAATTGCCATTGGAATTCCAATTGAAGCAAGTCTACTTAAGATTATTCCCTCAATCTGTTTCCTTGTTGGTTTGAAAACCAATCTTCCACCGCTTTGATAAGCCTTATTTTATTTGGTTTATTTGCGCTTTTGTAAACTCATTTTTGAAAGGTGGAAGCATTTCAATAAATCTTTTTGAAATAGTTATACCATTTACTATATTCTATTTATTCCAAGTTCTCCCAAAGCAGAAACAGCTCCAGTTGCCAGTGCTGGAACAGCTTTTGAAATTGCTTTTGTTGCGTAAGGCAGTCATGATCTTGTTCCAGGGGATACGAGTGATGTAAATAAGTTTTCTCCATGTTTTACCGAAACTTAAATCGGATTTCAAAATCGAGTGAAACTGTTTCATCATTAATTTTTTTCTTGATTTGTATTCGTCGACTTTAATATGTTTTTGAAAATGAAATATATTTCTCCTCAGTTGTTGGAATACGTGTCGTTTGATAAACAAATGTGAGTCATAACCCTGAAGACTGTGAGATATGACTGGACTAGAACCATTGGCTTGCGACATTGAAGGTTGCAAAAGTTATGTGCTGCACCACGATACTTTCCAGTAAAGTGACAATGGTCACTGACATTAAGCATTTTGCCTGTTGAATCGTCATCGTATAACTCTTTTTCACAAATATGGCAAAACTCTGCTTTGTAAAATTCTTGTTGTTCTTCTTTAGTAAGTTTAGGCGCTTTTGGTTTTTGTTTTGATTCTGTTGATCTTGTATAATTAAGATTTGTTGGATAAATATATCTAAGAACACACCAGAGAAAACATTTTTCATCTTTGTTTTGAATGTTTGTAATTGCTTACTGAGAATAGGACTTATCTTGTTTAAATATTGTTTTCTTTTTATCACGAATCAGCTTTTGCTTCATGAGGCAAACTAATACAAGACTGGTTTTAATATTGCGATGATGTCTAAAAAAGTCTTTTATTTCAAAAAATCATCAAGAGCTGATTTCTCTTTCTTGGTACCTTGTTCAAAGGAAGGAGTATCAGCAGGAATTGTTTTTTGATACACTCCTGAAAATATTCTTCAAATGTTTTTTTTGTTGTTGTTGTTTTTTTTTTGGTTTTGGATTAGTTTTTTCCTTTCTTAATTTTTCGTTTTGTTTTTTCAGTTTTATATAAGCTTCAATAAGTTTCTGTTTTTGTTTATCCTCTTTTAATTTTAATTTTTATTTATTTAAATTCTTCCTTAACAAGCTTCTTTAAATCAGTTATTTGTAAATTGTTTAAATCAGCAGCGCTCATTTATTATAAGAGTAGATAATTCATTAAGCTTTAATTTTGTTTTTTTCTGCATCAACTAAAATCGCTTATTATGGTAAATAAAAGCCGTATCACGTATTTAATCGAACTTTCACGAGAATCATAAATTTTGATAAGAAAAACAATAGGTTTTCACGTAGCAACTCAATGTTTGAAAAGTAAACTTAAGAAATTTTTTTCGGTTTTGTTCGTTGTTAGGGTAATCTGGAATGTGTTCTTTTGCCTTTCATGTGATAAACCATTGATGGTAAACCGCAATCACATGCTGTATTTTTTCTGGATTATCAAAATCTAATATTAGTTTTTTGGGTGAAAAACCCCTTTCTAGAATATTCTGTAACTGATTAAATATTCACATCTCAGTTAAAAAAAACTGGCAGGTGTTTGAAATGTTATGTAAATGATTATGTATTTTGGATAGTTGTGTGAATAAATTACAAACTTTGTCAGTAAAGTTTACTCTAAAACTTTACTCGGATGTGAGTAGTTATATAATGATACTTTCTGGCTAAACTCAAACCTACTTTTTCCTGATTAACCCCTGCGAGCGAGGCGAGCCATTTTTATGTCATTATATCATCGTTAATTAGTGTCTAAGTTCTGTCATATTTTTTCTCTGATTAATTACCGTCAAAAGTGAGGCAGGGGGTACTACTATGAGGGAAATAATCAGGGTGGGGGGGTATCATTGACGGGAATAGATTTTTGTAGGGTATCATTTTTTGCCTTTATTTAAGTTTGAAAAAAAAGGACAAAAATGAAGACAGAGATTGGACAGGGAAATTTTTGATGACGGATGACAGAAAAATGACGGGGTTAATCACGAAAAAGTAGGTTAAAGTTGAGCCAGAAAGCATCATTAAATAACAACTGCCAATTGGCCACGAAGAAAAAAATATTCCCCTATGCGTGGGGATCGACTTCCCCATCCCCTGGAAGACTCTGATTATCAAATTCCTTTCCCCCGGGACGGCCAAGATGCAAAATGCCCAGGAGGGGGATGTTGAAGCTTCGATTTGACCGATAAATTGAATAATATCAAACGTTTCAAAGAGCCCAAATTCGTGCAAAACGTTTCTTGCACGATACACAACATGTATACTATTTCACTGATATGGGCTATACCTAATCTTTTTAAAACTGAATAATATACGTGATCTATGCAATGGCCAACGAAGAAGAAAACTAAGCTTTTTCCCTAATTTTGGAACATTCTTTCTGAGACGAAAATTCAACTATCAAAATGTCACGGTGCTCTCTTGCCGCCCTTCCTAGGCAATGGCGATGGAAAAGGAGAGATGGTATGGCTTGAAAACATCCCGTCTTGCTCTTTTGACATCTGTATACCATTTTTGTATGCCTTCATTCTCATTATATTGTCGTCATTAGTAAAAATAAAATATAGCAGGACTTTTTCAATTAGTTACAAGACGTTTTAAATTGCTACTTAGTGTAACAGAGTTCCTACCTTTTCTTCTTTTGGCATGCAACAATTTCGTGTGGAATACAGGGTGCGCGGGTGTGGATGGTAGCTGGCACCTACAGACAGCGCCTAAAAAGCTATCAGCTGATGCTCTTAAAAATTCTAAAATTACTGACCAATCAGTGCCCTCATCCTTAGCATTTGTCTGCCAGTGCCTCTGTCATTTTTTGTTCTACACATGTACAAGATGAAAAAAATTATTACCTAACGTTTGTATCATGATATTTGCTACCTCTAAGCATGAGGTGAGAGACCAAAAACGTTATAAATATCATTGGCCAATTGCAGGCGCTGTTATGTACCAGGATACAACCCGCTGAAATATATACGTTTCAAAATTTGAATCAGTCAATATATCCATTTGTGGATATATTATGACGTCACTAATAATTGCATCTTGGACCTTCAAAGAAAAATCATGGTTTCTTTTATTTATCCCATAAGATCACGCGTTGTTTGTAAAGGAACATTAGAGGAACATGTGTAACAGGAGGAAGATGGCGTGCGTTTCTGTAGCGCAGAGAAAGATCTGCCGAAAGTGAATTTAACGGCTGTGTCAGTTTTATGAATTCTGAGTTGAGTGGCCTTTGAATTCTTGAAAATTTCAGGTATGTAATAATTTTTTTCAGGTTTTGAAAAAATTACTCCGAGATACTAGATTAAATTTGCTTCTTTTTTTTTATCCAAACAAAATCCATATGCGTGATACTTCCCGTGTGAAAAACCTCCATGGAGTGGAATTCCATGGAGGATTATGATATCCATTTCCATGGAATTCATGGAAATTTCTCCATAGATTTCCATGGAAATATTTGCATGGAGGATTAGGACATTTCCCATGGAATTCCATGGAAAACATTAGGACACCAATTTAAATGGAAATTTCTGCATTGATATTTTGCATGGAGGATTTAGGACATTTTCCATGGAATTCCATGGAAAAGGTACATGCAATTCCATTGAAACTACTCCATCGATTATCCCATGGATCTCCAGGGAGTTTCATCGAATTCACAGGAATTAGACATTTAAAATATCCAGTGAATCAAATGGAAATCATAACAGATTTGGGTCCACTGCAATTCATTTAATCAATATAAGGACCGCGTAAATCTCTTTTTAAAGATATCAATCAAAAGTTAACATGCTTCTGGCGGAAAATTTGTCATACTGTAGCTTAACAAATTAATGTTTACTTGTGACTACTGTATATACATGCAGTTTAGAATGCAGCAATCATATTGAAGAAGCTTAAATGAAAAATCTAGTTTTGATATAAAGAAAGGAATCTAGGCCTGGTGTTTAAGAAAAGTAACAGGCTAACAGATGCAAAATTCAGAGAAAAAAAAAATAAGCTAATACTTGAATGCGTAAACCGTCAGGATGTAAGACTTAAGCATGGCTTTATTTAATGCGACGTAAAAGGGAAGTGCTACTTATTTCCTCGATCAGAACCACTATGGTATTTAGTTATAGCAAAGTCCTACCTAATCCTTGGGGGAAAAAGGGGTCAGCCACAATTATAATTTATCAGTCTCTTGTATAGTTTGTAAGTAGCAGGCATGAAAATTCTAAATACGATATTTCTTCGTGATCGCGTAAGTCACTAAGCGGAGAGGCCTGGAAGCCAGTTCAAGCACCAAACATACCGTCAAATCACGGCACGACCGTGGAGAAGATGTCTGTCTTTAAAAGGCTTCAAATTGTGTTCCCTATCAGAGTTAATTGTACTATTCCGACGCTGTCGAAGAGTAAAGGAGTGAGAGGAAAATATTGCTTTATTCTCCCAGGTGAGGGAACCTTTGAAAAAAGGCAGCGGACCTATTCATAGTCTACTACACAGCCGTTTTAGTGTCGTCACGCAACGCCCCTCCCCACTAAAAACGGCTGTGTAGCAGGCTAGCCTGTCCACGTATGCGGCAAAAAAACTACAATATTCCTTGTGTTAAGGTTCGCCGAAATACTCCATGCAAAGCAATCTCATCAATCAGGTTGGACTCGAGTAATAGGGAAAATCTTAGCTCTCAACCAAAGACACTTTGATACCGAACATGGCCGAACATGGCCAGAATTTAAGTTCTCGCACGCGCGGTAGCAGTGGACACTTAAAAAAATTCCAACAGAAAGCAATGAAAATTTTACAAAGAAATGTGGGATAAGTAAAATAATTTGCGATACTGCAAGTCCTGCGATATACCTGAACACCAGGTTGCGATTGAGACTGAAAGGTTAACTTATTTAGATCTTAGTTTTGACAAACTTAAACTCCTACCTTTAAATCTCGAGCTTCCCAGAATGGAAATAAAAATACGAAAAAATTACCTGCGTCTTCCGTATGATTCTATTGCAAATGGAGCACTGCCACCTCGATCAACCTCTTTTCTTCAGTAATTAATGACAATTTCGCTAAGGAACTCTCTTAGGTTGCGATGAAACCTTCAAGTACAAAGTCTTATCTCTATATCGTGAGTTGTTTTGTCCACTTAAAAAGGATATACTTCCTTCCCACGTTTAAAGAATTTGGAGTTAATTCTATTTACAAATACGCTTCTACTACAGGGCATAAATCCAAGACCTTCGCTCTACAATATCTCGGCCAAAAATCATCTAAATTGTCTCAAAAACCTCTTGTTCGAAAGCTTGTGTCGTCGAGTTCTCGTCGCCATCTTTGGTTGTGGCAATATTTTTGAACAGCGGTTTATTTGACCATAAACAACTATGTATTTGACCACTCGAACTTTCCGAACATTATGAGCCCGGGAATCACAGTCAAAACCAGCGGTTAAAACCATTGCGAAACAGTCTGAACGTAAGGCGCGCGAAATTTGACCATGTATTGTCCATGTATTTCCATCGATTTCCATGGAATTCCATAGATTTCCATGGATTTCCAAGGAATTCCATTTTCCAGAGGTATTTCACACGGGGAATGATATTTTCTTAAATAAACACAAAACGCAATTACATCTTTTGATCATTTTTGTAAGTAAGAGTGGTTAGATGGCTTGCGATACAATACTTGTAAACATACGAGTTGGCATATAGAGCGTAAACCTAATGCGTTCATGCGTAATACTATTTTACCGAATAAAGTTGTAATATAACCAATCTTTCATATGCAGGCACGTAGATCTGTGGAATTAGAGAAAGGTGGTATGTAGCCTGATCCTCCCTCCCTGACCGCTCTCCTAAAAGGAAAGGGGCACAAATTTCCCGTTTAATGTATGGTGCTTGTACCTGGTTCATTTTTGACTATAGTAATCTTAGACAAAATAATTATGGGAATTTTAGACCTTCCTACCCCTAAATCAAAGATTCCAAGAATGGCGTGTTTTGACGTTCGCGTGGTTTCGTTCTTGATTTAGGGGGATTGTATCTTACACTTCTCGAGGGCAACCGACTCAAGGAATGTAAAATAATACCGAGAGCTGATTTGAAAATTATTCTTGCCGTACTACCTTGAAAAAGAATATGCACAGAACAGACTTTATAAGAGGTGAACATCGAACGTTGGTTTTTTTTAACCGAACGGCGTTAATAATGTGTTGCAAAAATCTTTTCTAGACTAAAGGACTGCCTTTCGGCTGCAATTTATATAAGGTTAATCTGAATCTTTTGCCAGCTCTCAAACCATTCTTGCCTTGAGGCAACCGTATTGCTCTATTTTGACAACACATACAAGTAATAAAAACACACCTTAAAATGATAATAATAATAATAAAAATAATAATAATAATAATGATAATAACTATAATAATAACAATAATGATAATAATAATAAAGCAATTCTGTGAGACTAAAAATGCCTGTTCTAATGTTGCTGGTTGTTTTTGGATCTTGGAGCACCAAATTAATTAATAATAGCTGCTTCACGGCGCGTCGGACCGAACCTTTTTTTCCAAAAATCAAAAGAAATCCAAGTTCACTAAACTACAAAAAAGCCTGTTCAAAGACTTTTACATCATATTTGAAAATAATTTTAAAAAGTGCAGGCAATAAATTTCTTTTGTAGTAAAACACCTGACAATGATATTTTGGTCCCATTATCTATGGTCGGCCATTTGTTTCAAAATTATGACACGATACACGTGCGGTTTTTTCTCACGAATACTTGCAATCATTCCTGCTACACGATATACGTGCGTTGTTTTGTCACGTATACTTGCGTTCTTTCCTGCTTCGTGGGTTTTTTATTCCCAAATATACGACCATTTTCTTACAAACGCGCATATATATGCGCACTAAAAAGCCCATATATATGCGTTACAAACAAGCATGTGTATATGGGGTAACAGAAAGTCTGGGTATAAGAGGCACCGAATTATACCGTCAGCAAAAAAACCTCTTCGTGCACGATGGAGCTGAAAAGTAACTTCGGTTTGAATCATGCATGGCCGCAATGCCCGCGTTAATTTCGAGCAAGGTTTGGTTCTTAGTCATTGCCCTCACAGTAGTGGTGGTTGTTGGCTCCCCGACAATGGATTTGTTGGAATCTGTGGATTGTCTCTTGAGAGCCTGTGTAAGCTATTTCTCAAATGCTGACCGAAACAACGATCGATTCAGTTAGAAATTACGGTCCGACAAGCAAAACACGACTGATAAGCTCGTGATAATGTGAACATGACTTTAAGAGTCTGCTTGAACAGATCGGTTTTTCTTCTTTTCTTTCTCTCTCTCTCACGCGAATTAAATCACCATTTTTTCTCCGCGAACACGTTCTAAGCTTTCTAGTCTCGAAGCTTTTTATTCTTTGCCTCCATTCAGTGTATTCTCATACTTTAATACCCTTCCACCTGCTTCTCTTTCCTTACTCCTCCTGACTTTAATTGTGATTTTTATGGTTATCTAACTCGTTGTTGTTCAACTTGCATAAAATGTCCCTCAAGCCCCGATTATTTGGCCAAGAATATCCCACTGATATCCCCTTGACTGTCCGTAACAGCCTTACCACCACTAACTTTAAAAAGAAACTAAAACTTCACTTTTTAAGCGTGAATTGAATTAGCGCAAGATTATCATAGTTTATTGT